TCCTACTGATATCAGCAGGGATGTCACTTAGGAAGGGTATAAAACCTTGAATTTAATTTTTTTATAAACTATGAATGTTTGATAACCTATCAGATTACTATGATAATTTGAGTTAAATATACAGGCAAGGAATAGAGTAGGTAAACTTAGACTATAGTAGTACTTTACCAATGTGACAATAATTTGACCCATAACTAAGTTGATTCGTATTATAAAAAAAGCTTAGCTGCCAGTGACATTATTCATAGCATGATCAGGATCTTCATTTTTTAATCATGTTTTATAATACATCTTTCAATTTGATTTGCAGCAAGCACTTTGCTTCCATTATACCAGCTCTGCCAAATAACTTCTATTTCACGTACTGTATGCATTAACACTTTGACATACACTGAAGTCCTAGAACTAGAATTTACAAAGGTTTTTACAACCCCTTATGTGTGATAAAGTGCTAAAAAATTTAGGTTCTGGCAGACTCTACTGATATTGTATTAACAGGGTCAGCAATTAATCCTTACATTTACAGTCTGTAAACTTGGTATTTAATACTGAGTAGTACTGTTATAAGCCCTTTGGCATGTGTGTTCACCTAGTTCATTTTAAGCCACTGCTCTCTATTGTGTCCATCCAGAGGGCAAATCTCTTATCACTGCATGAAACTTCACATTCTTAGAACATTAGAGATTTCTCCCAAGCTTTGCTTAGTTTATTCCACCCTATTATCAACAAATACTCAGAACAACGATAAATTAATCAATGCTGGGAGGATTTCTTCTGAAAAGAGGCAGAGAGCTCTACAGGGAAAAGCAACTTCTTAAGCTTGCTGGCAGATGGAAACCCTACTGTTCACCACTGTACAAAACAAATCTGGGAGAGACATAATTACTCCAGTGTGTTTTAGGTATAACTTCAGTAGCAATGTCGTGGCTCTCTTATTATGCTGCAAGCTTGCTAGAATTAAGGGCCCTATTTGGAGGAAACTAAATAGTTTTGAGAAAGACAATTGTAAAGCTGAGTATGACAACTCCTCTCCTGTATTTTACAACCGCTACAGACACCAATTTTACCAACAACGTTTTTCTGGTTTTTTTAGTAATCAGAAGACAACATAGCACCAGGAAAGGTTTTATATAAAAAATTATTTTTTCTAGTGATATTCCTATAATAGGTGCAAGGCACAGATTATTTCAAGCCAAAAACATTGAATGTCCATGGGTATTCTATATGTACTTATATACAGCTACTTTTGTCAAGATACACACAAAGCTGAGAAATTTCTTTTCTGCAAAGCTAGTAAAAAGACTGCAGCAGTTCCTGTAGCCTGAACAGTCCTTTCTGGGATCCTTGTCAAGTCTCCTTCCAAATTAAATGCAACAATTCATGCTCTAGAGAATCTACAACATATACCAGTCATTTTTTTCTGTGTCAGATGTCTGCTGCTGAAGTTGAAATAATTATTTTACCTTAGAAACAATTAAAAAACAATCTAAATTATATAGCATACCAGAAATATACATGCAGGTCTCTATTTCACTATACTGGGAAGACTGGACCATTTCACCTGCTGATCCCTGGGACTCAGAAAAACTTCAGCTAGGACCACTAGCTTAATCTAGTGAAACTGCCCTTTGACTGAATCACTTCTGCTCACTTTGTGAATATTTATCCGAGAAACCCCTGTACGTCCTGCTTCTGAAGGTTAATGGCATTTTGTTAAACTAAAATCAACACACAAGACTATTTCACTGTAAAATAAAGGAACAGTGAAAATGTTTATCTTCTTTTTCAACCTTAAAAGTGAATTGATCAGTTATAATCAAAAGTGCTTTACCTCACTAACAGTTCTGAGATTCATACGTTTCTAGTTTAAAATAGCTTTTTGTACAGCTATAGACTAGTGAGATACATTAAAGTTTTCTTTCAAGAAACAGATCCATATCTTCCCAGTGTAACTTACTAAGCAATTACAATTAAGTAAGAGTCTCAAGTATGCATTCCTTCTGCACCTAGAACTCCCACTAGTTTCCAAGCCTGTGTGGATGAAGCACAAGGAACCTTTGTATTTCCTAAGATGACTGTAAAAAAGTATCTATTCTATATTAGAAACAAATCTGCTTCTCACTTACATAGAAGGTAATTTATATAGCTGTATATAGCTTCATACCCTCATTTTCAGTAAGGATTCTTAAATCTTTTTGCACTTAGATCAAGAGTTGGATTTCCATTTGCTTGAAAAAGCTTATAAATAATAAAATGATTTTTCATTTCTTGCCCATGAAATTAAAATCAGCATCACAATAGTGCATTGATGCCAAGTCCTTGCAAAAAATTTATAGTGTTGAAGCCATGCCATTTCAACTAAATGAGTTTATTCATTCCAAACACATTACCAACAGATGTAGTATTAAAGGTGAGGAAGGGCAAAGGAAATCAAAGTATGTCTTTTAAAATACTGAATTTTGTTTACTTTAGCCAAGTCATAAAGCAAAAATATTTTCTAAAAAGAGCTGCTTAAGAGCTGGTGGGAACTGAGCTGACCAAATACAAGTCACCAGTTTTCCCATTCAGTTGCTTCTCACTTCTGTAACTTTTCTGTCTAAAGAACAAATAACTCAACAGCCCAATCAGATCTTCACACCCCCCCTTCTTGGTACTATGAAAGACACCTCATATTTCTCTGCCTTTTTTGTGTTAAATAAAGAAGCATGAAAATAAGTCAAGAATTTTAGGAATCTTTTGAGGTTTCTCTACATGGAATGGATTCTGTAGTCTTAAAAAGAAGTCACTGCTATATGATTAACATTATATGAATACATCATGTAATTTTCTTTACATAGGGGTAGTTTATGAACAGACAATTGAAGAGTATAGGATTTAATTTACCAGAGTTTATAAGAGCAATGATTCACATTTTACCCAGCATTTTTACTTAGTCATTATGTTTACCTGCTCTAATATGCTATTTTATTTCATTCCTTAGTATTTTCCCTCTCCTATTTTCAAATATAAATTACTATGCCCTAATTTATCTTTTAACTTCTTTAAATAAGATTAGAATACATAAAAGATGATTCAGAAATATCTCCCTTGTACTCCGTTAGGGAAATTAGGTCAAATCCTACTCCCTCTGTAGTCAATGGAAAAACTCTAACTGACTTCAATAACAAATCAAGCCCTAAACACACAGCTCCCTGTAGTTTCTAAGCAAATGGCATACTGTATTTCATAAAAGTTCCAGAACTAAGTTCTTTTCACAATTCTTCTATGCACATGAGAAGCCTCTAGTTTTACGTTTCTGAAACTTTACGTTTCTAGTCTTTATACAAAACTAGAGGAAAAGATTTTTAATGTTTAATAGTTACCAAAAACAAATTAGTCTGCCTGATGTTGCTGAACATATTTCAGTAAGTACCAGATAACTTTTGTTTATTTTTCCTAGGCTGCTTGGGTTTAGATTTTCTTTTAACTTTCTATTTGCATCCAATCCATTCTGTAAATACAATCTACATAAATCCTGCTTAATTAAGTCAGTTCTACTGTGAATGGTGACATGAAAAGTGGCCTAAGAAATCTATCATGCCTTTGCGGACAGTATTGCTTCTTGAAGAAATTTAGTTTCAACCTAGCCGCGAGAAGCCGAGCCCTTGAAGTTCTGGGAGGTTAATTC